CCTGGCCTGTCCCCTGACTCACCAGGGGACACATGGTGACTGTTTCCCGGCTTGTGCTGTTGGCAGCAATTCCACATCCAGGGTTTTGCATTTTTTTCACTATTGCTCAGAAGTCATTCTTCGAAGTGGGGTTTCCAGGCTACATAGAAAAGATCTCTGTAGTTTTGCTCCGGTTGCCAGACCCCTGCCCCGGAAGCTGCATCTCACTTGGCTTCCTCAGGGCGGCCGCCTAAGGGGGAGGTGCTTTTCTAGGCTTGCCACCCAACAGAGCTGTCCAGTCCCCATTGCTGGCCAGAGAGGGGAGCCTGGTCATTTCGGCACAGTCTTGGGCGACATCTCTCTCTGCACGCGCGGGAGGGGAGCATCATCTCCTGGACTCAGAGGCATTTGGCTTCCATTTCAGGGGATCCCTTTGTCCCTCTCTCCTGGGCTGGCTTTTTCCTTCTGAGCTGTTAGCAGTTCCTGGTGGACACCTGTCAGTGATGTCGGCGCTGCACCTCTGATGGCAGCAGCAGGTAAACCGCCCCCCCCCCCTCATTTTGGCACTTATCTTTTAACTTTGGGCTTAGTGGGTTTGGGTTTGTTATTTAAAATCGTGTTGTACAACATCATACGGGAATTTATCCTTTGATCAAGTTTGAATGGTCCGAGATGCCTCCGATTTAATTGGGGACCCTCCTCCATCTGAAGGTTTGTGTCTTAGGCTGGCTTCTTCAGAGAAGCGAAACTAGTGAAGATGGGATAGGTGGCGAGAGAGAGGGAGAGAGAGAGAGAGAGAGAGAGAGATCTGTCTCCAGCCCCTGGGTGAGATGTCAGGCTGCAGGCTGCCCCATGCAGCTGCAGGGGCTGCTGAACCTAACGCCAGCAGCCACATGGTGGTCAGATCATGACTCGCCGACACGGAATCCAGGTGGAACAAGAGCTCTGCCTGGGAAGTCCGTTGTCTTAGGGACTTCTCTTCACCCAAGCCCCGCCCACCCTTGGGACACGCCCTCTCAGCAGATTGGTTGCTCATAGCAGTCGGGGGCGGGGATTTCACTGCGTCTGTAATCAGGAGGCACAGCTGCATGGAGAACCCTGGCCCAGCCAAGTGGACCCACAGCCGGGACCAGAGGAGCTCTCTGGGGATTCTGAGTGCTCTGCCCCGCATCTCTCTGCCGGCAGCCCCCGGCGGTTTCTCAGATCACACCTCAGCCCCATCTCCACCCCGGCTCAGAACCACCCTGTTGGACAGAGGAGCACTGCTTTGAGGGTTTCTGAAACTGTCGCTCTGTATGGGAGTAGAGAGCCTCGTCTTTTTCCCATGGAGCGTCTGGTGGGTTTGAAATGCTGACCTTGCAGTTAGCATCCCAATTAGTAACCGCAGTGCCACCAGGGCTTGAACCCCCAAAACCAAACCCACTCCCCCGAGCTGATTCCAACTCATAGCCACGCTTTGTAGGGCTCCTGAGGTTGGAGGTCTTAGGGAAGTAAGTCGGCCTCACCTTTCTCCTGTGGAGCGGCTGGTGAGTTTGAACGATTGACCTTGCTTGCAGCCTAATGCTTATCATCCCTCACCAGAGAAGCCTGCTGTCATCACAGAGCTCCTGAGGCTGCAGCTTTTTCCCCCCCGGGCAGTGACCGCATCCTCCGGTGATGAGGTGGTATCGGCTGGCCATCTCTAGAACCTAGGCCACCTCTGTGGGGTCAGAGCTGATACGGGGGCTTTAACTCGGGCCTCTTGGGATGCTCACTGCAGGGCCCAGCCACTGTCTGCGGGATGCTGCCAGAGAGAGCAGCGTCCCCGCTGGGTCAGCAGCTCACCTAGGCCCCCACCCCACTGAGAGCAGTGCCCTGGCCCCCGTATGTGCAATGGATGAGTGTTGTGGGAGTGGGCCCTCCAGCCAGCAGCTGCCCCTGACATCACAGCCCTGGTCATCTCTCCAAGAGGCCCCAGGCTAAGCTCCACACCAGCCAGCCCTCTGGGGCCACACTGCTCTGTGTCTTCGTCACCAGGTGCCTCCCATCTCCTTCTGACATGTGAGTAGTTTGGACTTCAGTGAGCCAGTGCCCCCGGGAGGGTGTCCGAGGCTCCCTGGGGGCAGAGGGATGGAGGAGCGGTGGGTCTGCCTGGGCCGTGGGGGCAGTGTGCACAGCAGGCCCTAAGTTCAGGTAATGTTTCTGTGGTTTTAAGTTAATTTGGGGACAGCCAAGAGGTAGCCGAGAGATTGACAGTGGTGGACTTGGAAGATGACCCAGGGTACGGTGTCCACGTCACCATCGTCCACTGACCTCTAGTCCCAGTGTCCGTGCGGACTGAGGCCGGGGGCAGCAGGCAGGGGCACTTCTGGCCACATTAGGGACTGGCCTGGGAAAGGCCTGATGCCCCCCTTCCCAGTAGTTTGTTTTTGAAAGATCTGGGCCCCTCTGTGGACAAGGCCCATGGGCTTGCCTGCAGGGTGCAGGCAGTGTTGGGGGCAGGTGAGTGGCCAGGTGACTGGGACATGGTGCAGGGAAGGTGTCTGGGGTCTAGACCAGAGTCAGCAAGCAGGCTCCCAGATGGCCTGAGTAGGGTCCCTGAGCTGGAGCAGGGCTGGTTGGCGGTGAAGATGAGGCAGGGTCATCAGCGGGCTCCAGACCAGTTGCTTGATGTAGTAGTCCGGGCAGACTAGAGAAACAAACCCAAGAGAGACGCATATATGTACAGGAAAGAGCTTTATGTCAAAGAATATTATATATTAAGAAAACATCCCAGCCCAGCCCAGTCCAGATCAAGTCCATATATCCGATATTACCCCACATGTCGATACTAGTTTATAAATTTCCCTTTAGACTCACGCAGCCATGCAATGATGCCGAGTGCAGAAAGATCACAGGCCAGTGGGTGGAAAGTCTTGTGGATCCAGTGGCTGTGGAAGCATCTCATCACTGGCGTGGGTCTCCATGTGGCTCCTCCAGCTCCAGGGCTCTGGCTCCATCAGCGTAGCTCCATGTGGCTTGTCAACAGAATGCCTCGCAGAGAGAGAATGTATCTAGCCTCCAGTGAGCTATTTATCTCGTTGCGCCTCCAAATGAGATCATTAAACTGAAACCTTGTTGACAAGCTAAACTCCACCCCTTCGCAAGTTGACAGGAGATGATGTAACTGCCACACTCGATGATCAGAACAGTGCCAGTTTGGGGTCGAGCTGTGTGTGTGCAGTGGTTAAGCACCTGGCTACTAGCTGCAAGGTTGGCACTTGATGCCCCCCTGCTACCACCGGGGAGGAAGACATGTGGGTCTGGGTCTGTGCAGACTGACCACGTGGGAAGTCCACAGGGGCAAGCAGTCAGGCGGTCTGGCCATATAGCGTCGGTGTCAACGGGATGGCACTGGGTTTGGGTTTGGGGGAAAATGGTGGGTTGTGCCCACCTGCCCGTGCCTCAGAAAGGCTGCCAGGACCTTCTGAGATTCAGAGGCTGCTGTTTGTCCCAGTGGGGTCACGGTTGTCAGAATGTGGGCACCTGCTGTGTCCTGGGTCAGCCAGCTCGGCAGCAGGTGTGGCGCTGTGCCCTCTGAGAGGGAGAGAAGCCACCCCTCCTGGTGGGAGGAAGGGCCGTCGCTGCTCAGGGACTCGGGAGCCTCCTGGAATCTTGACGCCCAAGCCTGCGCAGGGCGAGGCGGGTGGACACAGTCTGTCCAAACTCAGTGGGCAAACTGCTGCCCGAGGCGACAGGACTTGTGGATGCCCTGCTGAGGGGGAGCTGGCCCAGAAACAGCAGGACTGAATGGAAGTATCATGTCTTCCGCATCTTCCTACCACCGAGTGGAAGAAAATGGAAGCAAAGCAGGCCGCTGCCAGAAGGGCCAGGCAGCGGCCGGCCAGATGCACTTGTCTGGGAGCTTGGTGGGGCTTCGGGTGGGCAGGCGTGATGCTCCCTGCCGGCCCTGCTGAGAGCCGCTGCCTGCCATCAGCTCCCCTTTAATTAGCTTCCTTGCACTAACTGCCTGTTTTCTTTTAAAATCTTTGACATCGCCAATTCTGTCTGAACTCGGTCAGCAGGAGAATGATGAGATGCCCTTTGGTGTCCAGCGTTGGCCTCCCTCTGCTGTCCTCTCACCGAGACCACCGGCCCCGCTGTGTGCCCGGACGGTCTGCCTGCAGTGACGAGACGTCACCAGCCTTCCCCATCATGGTCCTGGGTCTCGGCCCCCTGTCCAGTTCAGACACGAGAGGCTGGATCTCCGTGGCATCCATCCCTGCCTGAGGTGCCCTGGCGGCACTGAGGCTTGAGCTCTGGGCTTGGTTTGAAAGCACCAGTGCTTCACGAGGAAAGCCAAGCTGTCTGCCCCGTGACGATGTGCAGCCTTGGAAACCACAGGGTCAGGGCCACCCTGTGGGTCAGAATCTGCTCGTGGCAGCGGGGGTTCCACCCTACACCAAGTGCACATCAGCCCTGGGGCACCTGGGGACCACCATGGCCTCGTCTGTCTGTCTGGATTTTTCCTGAGGCTCCAGCTGTCCTCCCAGCTGTTCGTCCCAAACACTGCATGGCCCTGGACCCTCCCCACGATCGGCTGTGCATCCGACTGTTGTGGCACCCTGGACGTGGGTCTCTGTCCTAGTCTGGAATCCAACTGGATCTCTTGCAGGGAAGGGGAGACACCTGCCCCTCCCCCCATGCCACGGCCCCCGTTTTACTCCCCTCTTACACAGTGACCTGTCCCTCTGCCTGTGGGATGGGAAGATGTCTGGGTTCTCTGTGCCGGACACGCTGGTCCAGGGTGCGGGCAGCTGCGCCAGCATCTTTACGTGAGTGCACGGCGTGTCATCTCCACCCTGGGCTGTGAATGCAGCTTATTCTGTGGCGGTTTGGACCGAGCGCCCGGTCAGTATGGACACAATGGGGCTGTGTCCCACGCCCAGCTGGAGAGTATAAGAAGGAGGCTCTCAGTCACTGCCCAGCCAGGAGCACCTGTGGCCAGGCTGCCTAGGGGCCAGCTCAGCGCTCTGCAGGTACTGCGTCCACACCCTGGCCCCGCTGACCACGGCTGACTTGGGCATCTGGTGACTGCTATAGCAGCAGACACGGCCAACAGGTGTGTGTGGCAGGGTTGATGGCTTCGGCACAGGATGATGGCCGCTGGTTGCAGTGTCTGTGCTATGTTTTTGTGAGAACGTGGGAGGGCAGCAGGCTCATCTCCAGGGTTAGAGGTTAGCTGGTTAGCAGGAGCCCAGACCTGGCCAGTGGCTGGTGGCCTTGGTGACTGGACAGGGCAGGTTCCAGTGGGTGGGCGTGGCCTCAGAGGGAAGCTGAGGGAGGGGTGGTGCAGAGCAGGGGCCCCATGGCCCACAGCCAGGCTGGGAAACGCCCGGAGGCCACAGGGCTGCTTCTCACAGGCCCCTAGTCAGTCAAGGGACCTTCTCGAAGGCTGGTGAAGCGGGCAAGCACAGAGCCGGCGGGGCAGGCGCGGCTCCCGGAGGGCCTCAGCCTGAGCCCCACAAGGCATGCTGAAGGTGCTCTCAGCCAGGTTCAGGGTTACACCCTGGGGATGGCAGTCGGGGAAGGGCTGTCCACCGGAGGACCCAGCACGCCCGCTGCCTGGCTGCTGCTGCTGGCTGGACTTCTCCTTATTGTTTGGGTAAGGTTCCCCAAGATTCAATCCTTCTCACCCTTTGTTTTGTGACATTGATAGTTGGTGCAGTCCCCTCTGAGGGACAGCGCTCTCCCCAAGTCCCTCTGGTTCCCTGCCCCCACTCAGCCTTCTCTGGGCCCTCACTGCCTCCCAAGTTTTGCTTCAGGGCGGAGGCAGGTCTCCCATGGTGGGTGCCCCTGAAGGGCACTTGCTGGGCTGTGACTGCTCAGTGAATGGCCCTCCTCCGATGACCCCATGAGCAATGGGGTCAAGCCTGGGCCTACTCCATCGCCAGGACCTGTTTGTCCCCCCACCCTCCAGCTATCATCAGGGTCAGCTATGATCCATGGTCCCAGGCATTGTTCCTAGAGGTGCTGGTCAGAGGGGTGGGGTGGATGCCTGCCAGACAAGGCCATCTGGCCCTGGACATGCCAGGGATGGGGCAGCAGGGATCCTGCTGACAGTAGCCAAGCTCCCTGAGAAGTATGATGGCCAGGGCAGCAGGGGCCAGTGGGAGGAAGACTGTGCACCCTGTGGAAAGTGACCAGAGCATCAAGGCTGTGAGCTCCTGGTGCCATGGGAATGGGGAAGATTGTGCGTGTGTGTGCGTGTACCCACGTGGGTATGCATGTGCACGCATGTGCGTGCACCCGAGAGTGCTCACATGTATCCTTCCTGCTCCCCAGGACCTCTACAGCATGAGGTGTCCTTGTCACTCAGGGTGCGTGTGCATATGTGTGCATGCACATGTGTGTGCATGTGTGTGTGCACGTTCATCCTTCCTGCTCCCACGGACCTCTACAGCATGAGGTGCTCTTGCCACGCGGCATGCACGTGGGGTCTGGTTGATTAACTTTTGGGGGCTGGGTCTCAACGGCCAAGGCATCCAGAGAAGACTTCAGGCCAGCGGCCCCCCACATCACCCCACTCCCCACCAGCCACAGGAGCCTCTCAAGGAGGCTCAGGAAGGCTCCTCTTTCTGATGTATATATTCCTCTACTCCGCATTCCTCACAGTGAGCATATTCTTTATTTACAACCAGAGGCATGGACGTTATTTAAGTGAGCAAGCTGCCCCTCCAGCCAGTGGGTGAGCGTTGTCCCTGGAATACCACCCTCACCTCCTTGGAGCTGAGACCATCTCCCCAGGTCCCGGGGGTGGGGGGTGCGGGCAGCTGTAAGGAAAGGTGGTCGTAGAGACAGGAGGTTGGAGGGGAGGGATCCTGCCTGGAAATGAACGTAGAGTTCTTTCTGATTCCCCAAGTAGGCACATATTGTTTTAGAAAAACGCACAGGCGATTTAGAAAGGGGACCAGGCCCGAGGAGAGCCCTGCTGCATGTCTGTGGACCACCTCTGACGTGTGTGGGTGGGACACACGCACACCTAGCTTTAAAATCAGAAGAGAGAACATGTTGTGCATACATTACGGCCGCTATATACATGGTACAGGGTCTTTTCCATCCGAGCCATTTTTAGCTCCACAGTTCAGAGGCCCTCACCACGCAGCTCAGCCACCCCCATTATCATGTCCCAACCTTTGACCTCACCAAGCAGAAGCCCTGCCCTCTCAAGCTGTAGCTTCAAGTCCCCCCACACCTCCCACTGACTCTGGTCTGTGTCTGTGTCTGTTTCCAATCCTTCAGACAAGGGACTTCGTGGTGCACGGCCAGATTTTCACTTTA